TGTAGGCTAGCATTCCAATGGGTTGCAAAGGGGTCTATCATTGGAAAGCCAAACTGAGAACAAATCCATTAAAAGACCACTTGATGGAACATCCATGCTGGTAGAAGAATCTGATGGGGTCGAGAAAGGTGATCTGCTATCAAAATCATAACCCCTGGTAATAGACAGGCAAAAAGATGGATTTTATTGGAATGAGCCGAAAAAGAAAATCCAAAGCCCGAAAACCAAGACCTCAAGAATGATAACTTCCCTGATGAGAAAAATATGAAACCACTGTGGAGTAGTCAGAATGAATAATGACCATCTTGTCGTGCAAGAGAATTAGACCTGGAATCATCAGAAGATTTACTGCAAGAAGTTTGAAAACATTGATATATGGGGTAGATTCGTAGTCAGTCCAAATGCTCTGGAATGATTACCCCAGAAGAAAGGCACCCCCATCCATGAAGATATGGATTTCAACACAAGCAGGTGGTATCCAGACCCTGATATTCATATTGTTCCTATCTAGCCACCACTTGAGATCTGCAAATTGTTCATGCACAGAAACTGTGTGATCCAAAGGATCAGTATGCATGAGCCACTGGCCACAAAATGACCACTGAAAGGATCTCATATGGGCCTGATCTAATAGTATGAGGGATTCTAGGAAAGTCCAAATCCCCAAAATAGAAAGAACCATCCATGCAGTGGGAGAAGGTGACATAAGCAAATACCCGACAAACCCTTTCCTAGCGTGAAGTCTGAGGGGAGAAGGTTGAGCTCAACTCAAAGTGCATTGAAAAACACCTCAAGATGGACCATGTATGGAGTTGGTGTAAGAATGGATTTTTCCAACATGATATGAAGTCCACCCTTCTGGCATTGGAAAAACAATATGTGGATGTAGTGTGGCAACATGACAGGTTGGTGCCAAAGGAAGTCAATCTTCCAAATATTGATGTGTGCACAGACCCAGAAAATGAAGATGCTGCTCAAAGGCCTGTACTACTCAGTAGAAAACATATGGTGCTGAAGCAAGTCCAAACAGGAGAGCTTGGAACTGCTACATCTGGTCCTTGTGCAAAAAAAATGTAGAAATCAATGACAAGATTCTGCTATGGGAATATGAAGGGAGGTGTCTATAACATCAAATTTGGTCATCAAAAGATTAGGTGTGAAGTGCCATTGAAGTTGAAGAAAAGATTCCATGGTGAAATGAGGAGGCTGTAGGAAGAGATTGATTCAAGACAGATTGATGATAAGAATCCAACCTCTAGTGTTCTTGGTCACCAGAAAAAGATGAGAATAGAATCCTGGATGAATGGGTAGATACCAATGCCACTGGCATCATCCTGACCTTCCGAAGATCCCCAAATATACAGACAGAATCGATTCTGTAAACCAATAGGACGAGGTGTTGAAGGTGGAGGTCGAGAGATGCAAATGATTGATCCTCCAGAATTACCTGTTAGAGTTGAAGAGAGGCAAGCAGCCAATGACAATAAAGAAAATTGCAAATGTGCCATATAAACTCCAGCAAACTAGTAAGGCCAAAAAAGTGGCGACTCCCAGAAATCACAAAGAGGAGTATCACAATACACTAGTAAGAGTGAAATGAATCTGCAAAAATGGAGATTTGGTAAAAGAGATAACATGTTCTAGCCCAGAACCCCATAAACTCAACATCAAATTCAACTGCCGAGTGTTCAAATATACTACAGCCAGACAATGATAAGCCAGGGCATGTTGTCCTGATAAACAAGGGGGGCAAAGCATAGCAATACTCTCTTGTAATTGCATTGCAAACATCCCAGCATACACGGCAATATCAGGGGAAGGAGGAAGAACTAAGTAATCCCCCCAAGATCTAACTGAGAACAAGGCAGGGTAAACTCAAAAACAAGGGGTGAATCCCTAAAGCTTCACAAACTCACGTAACTAACTGCAGAAAAGAGGCAGAAGGTGGCTGATCCGAAGAGCCTGCAGTAGAGAAGGAGCAGGAAACAGTGTCTAAATTCTCCCCAGTATATTCATGATGAAAAGCCAACTCTGAAACCCTAGGGAAAAATCCCCGGGCCACATGAATGACTCCAACTCATCCCAAATCAGGTCATGGACAGCCTCCACTAAGCTATAAGTAGGTAAAACAAATTAAACTGGTTGAACCAAACACACAAATACAAACAATAATACTGGGGCTAAATATATCCTAGCCTGGTGCTTAAACAAAATCTTCTCCTAACAACTGTAATAAAGAACAATCTGCTCTTTTTATTCATAGTAAATAATCCAATAGTAAATGTCAGAGAAAACTGCTGAAATATTTTAACAGACAGGAAAAGATAGAAGGGGTGTGGCTTCTGGGTTTGATTTGTATGGATATAAATAAAGCAAGAAGCTTGGAGGCCATAAATTTACATTATGGCTTAGTAACATATAGAGTATAATTGTGTAATCTGTAACACAATCAGAAGATCATATAGAGTAGAAAGAAAATCTAAAATGAAAAATTTGCAGTGAAGAAGTATCACATGGTACCAAAAAGTGAAGATTGAGAATTTAGTTAAATATTTCATTTTGAAATTAAAGAAATCAAACTTGTATAATACAATTTGAATTATAAACTACATTTTCATGTCAAGTTTGATATACATTGTTAATGAAGTAGTTTAGTTAATTTTGAATGTAATTCTCTAATAGCATTGTGTTATGTGCACTTTGACTCAACCATGCTCATACAGTTAAATTATTATACAACTTTGTCACTCATCGTTCAGCCCAACTGATGAATTTCACAACTGAATGAAAGATTCTTGGACAATGGCTTGTGGGAGACAAAGGATTAAGAGGTGTGTGTGTGTGTGTGCACACATGTGTTTGCAGGGGGGCTGCTATCAATGTGATTTATCACAAATTTTAGGACAATAGAGAACTGTACAATAATCCAACTGCTTACTTGCTTTTCCTTGATCACCTTGTCAGCTGTGTCTGCCAAAACGTAGCAGCTAGCAACTACATAACTGAAATGGACAACAGATACAGGCACAAGGGCACGGAACGATTCACCAACTTCATTTGCATAGCCTATTTATAAAAATTAATAAATAAATTTAAAAAATTAAACAGAATATAAATAACTGAATATAACAGGTTTAAGCTTATACATAATGACAAAGAAAACAATTTCAGACCAATGTCATTACAGTCAATGATTTAGAATATTGTCAGTTTTTATTTCTTTTCATAACTGTTTATAAATTCAGTTGTAAAACATTAATATTTTCTCTTTCTTAGAAATACTAATAACACAGGCCTGCAAATTTAAACTTCATAAAAGATTTGGTTTTAATAACATGTAAGGAATTTGTTGTTGTTTTTTTTGTTTTTGTTATTAAAAATCGGGAAGAAAAACTTACATAGATCAAATTATTATTTTGTTTACAACAATGAACATTTTTTTTTATTATTATATTTGTTATGCCTGGTTTCTAGTATGATCGATAAGACTCTCACATCACAATTGGTCTAAAGAAATCTATAGCCAGTGGTTGGCAACATTTTAAGCATAACAAAATGTGACCTGATTTCAAAGAAAATTATTCACTTATGTAAAAGTAAATTTGACATTTTGTGAAAAATCTGTACACAATAGAGAAAAATGGACATCATTTTCGGATTAAGCATACAGGAATTACCGTACAACATGTAAAACATTCAAGACAATAAAGCCATCACAGACTTGTGTAATCAAACAAATGTTAGTAACCAATCCCAGTGCCTTTAAGCTACCTTACCAAGAAGGCGAATTGGAGTGTCTCGAAAAATATCAGTTTCTTCTTCAGTTTTCACAGCATTTTTATGTTTATCAGATTTTGTTAGATGCGTTGGAGGGTCTGCCATTAAGCTGCTTCAGCTAGGAGATGGCACTTTATAAAAACAAGAATTTTAATAATTACATTTTCATTTAAAATCTAATAAAACATTTTAATGCTACAAGATCCAATACCTTACTAAAATGTATTTTGCAAGTCATGATCCACTAAAGTAAAAATAACCTTTTTGTAACAATAAACTTTTTTTGTTTCATTTCCAATCAGTAATACAGTACCACTTCAGTGGATCTAGGCTATCCCATTTTCTAATTTCAATATACACACACACACACACACACACAACTACACAGAGAAACTCATTACATTTTAAAGAAATTTGAATGAAAGTTATTTCCTAATGTTACAGAAACTTTCATTCACTAACTACTCTGTTAAAAACTAACACTGCTTCAAGTAGATTAGTGTTTTAATTTTTTTTTAAACGTGCCCTCTAGTCTTGCTGCTTAATGTATTTCAGGTATATTATAAGAATAATAAGACAAGAGTACACAAGTTTAAGATTTGGAAAAGACAGGTTAGGCTCCAATCAGTACAGTTTTATTTTTCTAACAGTAACAGGGTGACTGACTTATGAAACGTGTGGTCATTGGCATTATGTGGGGACCAGGGTTTAAAAGAATGTATGATTTCTTTAAAAATAGAAGGTTGGTTTAAATTCAGAGATCTTAGCCTGTACTCATATGACAACAGTTCCATCCCAGGTATCCTCCTTTGAACCCTTTCCAAAAATTTAATGTCATTCCCAAGGTAAGGTGCCCAAGACTCAACACAATACTTCAAACCTAACCTAGCCTAACCAATGACATATACAATGATACACTGTAATTTCAAAACTACCTTAAATCCTTTTATACAAAAAAAGTAAATTGTATGTATTTTTATATTTAATAGTAAACTAATATTAAACAAATGTCCAACACTTAGAAAAGAAATAGTTATAAATATATATGTTGACAAAAAACAAATTTATATTTGTTTTAACATAATAATTTCATATTATTTCCAAGGAGTAATAAGTAATCAATTTAAGACCGTAGATATCTTTTTCTAATATCACCCTACTCGAACCTACATACAGAAATCCCTTTTCTTATACCCAACCCTTATCTCCAAAATGAAAATAGTCATGAAATTTCCTCTTACACTGTGAATATTACAGTTACTAACAAACCTAAGATTGAAGGCAATCTATTCTACAGATCAACCACCCTATTAGGAAAGTAATACTGCCTAAACTGGGGTCATGTCTAAATTTTCCTAATCTTAAACTTCTAACAATCTTAAAAATCTAAATCTTATTGCATTGAGCCTTTCTCCTGTTTAGGGAAATAATGCCAACTGATTTCAATGTATCCTCATAATCTTTAAACTGAAACAACAACAGAAATAAGAAAATAACACTTTCAAGCAAATTAAATAAAAGTTTTATCACTTACAAAAAAACAGTAAATCTGTGCCTGGCCAGGACTTTATATAAATTTTTATAAACAATGCAACAGAAAGAATGTTATTAATTTAAATAAATAAAGGAATTAAGAGAAAAATGAAAAATAAAATACCTAATTCTGAAAAAAAAAAAAATCCAAATTAAGCCACTTCTCAAGATCAATAACTATCAAGCAATAATTAGTTCCAACCATATCTCATGAAGTAACTCATTTAAGATTAAAGATGGGCTTTTATGCTAGCTTTTTATGCTAGGTAAAGCTTGTGTCAATTTCATAATACCAACAATACTCAAGTGAAATTCAACATGCTCTAGCTAGAAGGAGAATTAGCACTTTAATATAACTAAAAATTTATAGTTGAACTAAATGATAGTAGGAATAATAAATTAGCAGTAGAAAACCATAACAAAAGTTGAATTAAATCTGTCCAAAACAAGATTCTTGAAAAACAAATAACCAGATAACATCAACTTCATTTATCTTCCCTAGTTTCTTTTTTCAATTCAAAATCAAATACTAAAAAGTAATTAATATTTTCTATTTTTATTAGAAAAGTATTTTTATTCAAAGACAAACCTGCGATGTTATTTGGTTACAATTTTTATATTAAATTTACGAAACAGGCCAACCTAAAAAATAACACATAAAACATCCCACTAAACACAACCTTTAAATCTAACAGTAACAGTCTAAGTGGTATAATTTCGAATCCGAGTCTGAACGTGTTTTCTTTTTAACACGATTAACACAATAACAGTATATAATAACACTAACTTTGCTAATTCAGGTGTTAGTGCCAAAATTATTTAACTTAATTTTGCGTTAATTATGAATTATTTTCACATTTTAAGAAACAATACTATATATTGAATAATATTTAATAATTGTTCATCATCACAGATATACTTCAAGTTCAACAGTTCAAGATTATGTTTTCACTTCACGATCATCGTAAAAATGAATTAATTTAAGAACATATGCAATCTTAATCTTACAATTCTCTTCTTTTTCGAGAACTTGCCGCACTAATAGTAATAGAACTGCAGAATGTACGAAAGTGATGAGGAAAATTTCATTTTGAACTTTATCTTTGAAGAGGTGCCCTTAACGCGCTCTATATTCTTTCACATAGACAATGAAATTATTCTCCCAGTAAGTAAACCACCTCTTTGGTCGTCAAAGGTAAATACACTTCCAATTTATAAAAGCCACTGTAGGGTCTCGAGGTCATATAATCTTCTTCGTTGTTTATTAGACACACGAAAGTCAATAACCAAACCATCAAGTAAAAAATATTCATCCGCGTATATAGTAATCTTATTAAATAAGATAAACTATATGCGGATGAACATTTTTCTCTTGGTGTTTAGGTTGTCCTTGGGGTAAGTTGACTGTAACCTTTTCTCTAATAATAGATGACTTGTATGGTTTATTTTAAAACAATGAAATAGAAAAAATCAAGTCAAATTATCCTCTTAAAGTTACCCATATGTATTCATTTGGAGCTTTATAAACGTTTATTATAAAAGGTTGTGATGTTTAATTATTTTGTAAATAACCATTACACTTTATGAATAACTTACTATTTCGATGACGAGGAACCCACTTTGAGACTAATAATGGTTGGAGACGGCTTGAATGGGTAATGAAGAAAAACTTTAACATAACAGCAAATGTACAACGTTTCGACATGGTTTTGTCATCATCAGGCAACAAAACCTTGTCGAAACGTTGTACATCTGCTGTTATGTTAAACTTATATTAAAGTTTTTCTTCATTACCCATTCAAGCCATCTCCAACCATTATTAACTTACTATTTGTTAGGCTGTAATGGCTGCCACAATCTTCATGTTGACTCATTTTTTACATTTTGGTTAACGAACACGATACGGTTATTAATATACATGTTTTGTGATGTTAAAATGTAAGGTTTAAGTGTAGTGATATGAGATTTGTAATATTTAATTATTTTGTAAATGTGTAGCGTTCAGATAGGTGTACTTCCAACAGGGCCCCCCAGTGGCACTGTGGACTTACAACGCTAGAAACCGGGTTTCGATACTCGTGGTGGGTAGAGCACAGAGAGCCCATTGTGTAGTTTGTGCATAATTACAAACAAACAAACAAACTTCCAACAGCAAAGTATCCACCACGCATTGCAGGTTCAGAAATGTTAGTTACATAGTATAACTTCGAACATGAATAACAAATCGAAGTAATCCTAAGTGTACAAACGAAACATGAATTTAAATCATACAATAAATAACGCAGGTCACTGGGGTCTATTACCATGTCGTACTGGCTTACTTTCCTATTCTGTAACGGGAAATTTTATAGCTGTGTTTCATATAGGCATATCATGCGTTTTCTACAATTTTGTTTCTTCTTTTAACACAGAAATTGTTCAAGTCGACCTTTAAGATTTACAGTCCAGAAAAGTGCTGTCAACTGTTTGCAGTGATACATCTAATAAATTTCTCCGACTTGTAATAACACTTCCTGGTGGGATTTAACTGAACTGTCGTTTAACCAAAATTCATGCACCACTATTAAAAGTTTTCGTTTTACCACTACCTCACACATCAACATGCTTGTAAAGCTACATGACCTGTAGAGACTTCAGGGACAGTCTGATGATGATCTCAGCTGGATCCCATAAGTCAGCAATGCATCTTCATCCATGGGCTCTGCAGAATCCAAACTAAGGCAGGCCCCTGGGGTCTTGTGGGTGGCAGGTTGGATTCCTGGTCACCAAGTTTTCGAAAAAGAAAGCTCTCTGAATAACTACTCTCTTCCCTGACATCATAGCTACATTTTCACGTAGATCAGAACCTAAACTGATTCATGTTGAGAATACATCAGGAAATTGATTTGTTAAATATTTTAATCTACTGATAAAAATATTCATGCATAACAAATAAACATTAGACAAAGTTTAAATTCATCATGATCAGACCTATTGTTGTAGAGTTTCTCATTTCACAGACAATTTCACCATTTGTGTTTTAGTACAGTAGAACCCCATTAATGCACGCCACAATATAACGCGAATTCGGATATAATGCTGTCAGTGTATGGCTCCCAATTTTCTATTGACAGTCTGTCTGCAGATAACGATTGACCAACCTATGAGCAGGTGTCTGATGAAGAGATTAATCATAATGTAATAATGCAAAAAGAAACAACACCAGAGCCAGAATTGACCAAGAAGACAACAATGATGTCTTACCAGTCTCACTTCCCAAGGCCACTGAAGCAATAGAACACCAGGAAACTAGTTACCTGATGATGACAAAACCTTGTCGAAAATTTGTACATTTGCTATTATGTTAAACTTATGTTAAAGTTTTTCTTCATTACCCATTCTAGCCATCTCCAAGCATTTACTAGTCTTCCATAATATTGCATATCTGCTTGTTTGTTAATTTCTGGTAGAAATTCTTTCCGAAGAACTTCAGTGATACAAGTCCTTTCTT